ATGTACAAGAATGACCGAGCCAAGTATGAAAGTAACGCTCGATCTTGGACCCAGAAGTATGCTATGGGGTAAAGCATCAGTTCCAGGTTCATTGTTTTTTCCTTAGATGAAAAGAAAATGCAAATAGCCGTTTTGTTTTTGGACAGACCAGACAGCCTTCCTTTTGGATTTTGAGTTAGTTGGATATCAAATACTATTTTCTCATTGCTATCATAGCTTTTACAGTTATTTTCTTAACTAATTTGGTAGCTGCTGCTGAATTGTGCCTTGCTTGTTTTGTACTCGATTCTGCGTCGGATGGGTTGGGTTGAAATAATTTGGAACTTTATAGGTTCGTGAGTTTGTTTCTTCGTCGGTTTGTTTCTCATCTGTAACGACTACATTACCTTTATGGTTCTGCCACTGAAACGTTGTTAGAAAGTGATTAGGAAGTGTCCATAAAGTGGTTCGAAAAAGGGAAGTATTGCAGAAAATTGTTAAAGAAGAACTAGACTGCATACCAGGCATTAGGTTTGGAAACTATACCACCATCTGGGCTACGGGTTCGGATTCGAAGTTGCCTATCAGCTTTAGGTCCATGAGCAAAGCTCGAACAACTAGCCTTCACATTCCTCTCGGCTTAGAAGAATGCACATGCCCAATTTGAGAAGTGCGTAGAGGACAATATCTACTAGTTGTGGACTTGAGCTATTACAAATGGTATCAAAACCAGACACTAGGTGGTGTGCCTGCGAGGATGTTGGGCCCCTAAGGGAGGTGGATTGTGGATCCCACATCGGTTGGAGAGGGGAACGAAAGATTCCTTATAAGGGTGTGGAAACCTAATCGGTTGAAGTTTGGGTTGACATAGCCGGTACAATGGAATCGACCATGTTGTTGTCTTCTTCCTTCCCTCTGGAAGGAAGAAGACACGCACGACCGTGGTCGTTGCTGCTTGAAACTTTGCCTCTCCAGCTCCGTTTACTACATTTATTCTCTTGATTTCTTCATGAAACTTAAAGGTGGTGTTACAAGGAAGAGCTAGGGATTGATTTTATACTTTCTTGTGGATTGTAGCCTAAGTAAAATTATCCTCCAAAGTTGGTCGAAAATTGTTTTCCTCGTCAGAGCTCAACCCATACAAATCTTATTGGACAACCGTTTCTAGAGGTTTTCAGACCTTGAATTCTTCATGGAATTTCTTCCTCATTCTTCTTCCCTCTAGCTTAAGAAAATGTTTTGGAGGAATGTCTTTAGATGTGGCCTTAATTTTGAGGATTTTTTCTCCGTCTGCAACACACCCGAAAATGTAGAAGTTCCTTTTCTTGGGCAGCTTGTTCTAGAGCGTGTTAGCTCTTGATTTCTTCATCAAAGCTACTCAATTCAATCCTTTGAAGCTAAAGGAATGCTCAATTTTAAGAAAAAATGGACCATAGATAGGAATTCGATACTTGCTCCCAAATTATACCTAAAACTGATTTTCTTCTTTTGGGCACGTTCTTGGGACTAATTTTCTTCGTGGTCTTCTATGGAAATACTTCTTTAATGGTGGACAAGATTTGGGGAATGGGTTCTAGGCTCTTTTAGCGCTTGATTCCTTTATAAAACTTGTGGATAATCTTGTTTAGAAGCGGTATGAATAAGTTTGAAGGAAAATGGTGGACAATTTCTCTAAAATTTGGAAGAAACTCAAGAGTAGAAAACTAAAAAACTAAACGGCTATAACTCACGATTGAAAGCTCGACCTAACTCGATTCTTGTTCCATATGAATGCCCCAACTTTAGATTTTATAGAGGAAGCTTACCGACATTGAAATCTCTAGAATCATCGTGATTTGGAGATTGAGTCTTCTGGATTTCTCGTCGGCAATATCTTCTCCGATCAACAAGCAACCAACCTTGAATTATGACCCTTGGATATGATAAGGTGTCTCCTCTAGAACGTACTTGTAATTATCTCAAAGTTTAGGGGTAATTTGGTAATTTGTCATTTTTTAAAATATTTTACTATTTTTTCTTGTGTGCAGACTCCAATTAAATTTGAGCCAAAAAGGTTAATGTGGCAGTAAAACCACGTTAGAGAATATATATAAATACTCTGTAAATGGTTTCAATTATAAGAAACGTTCATGCTCAAACTCCCACATCGTGTTTACTATCCTTTCCTAACATATAGATCATGACACAACCTAATTTAACGTACTTATACTTGTTTACCTAACCTAACATACATACTTTATGTCCTTGATTATCACGTTCGTACTATAACCATCAATTTCACACATACTATTTACAAGCTAATTGCACTTTGTTAATATCATTCACACGAATAAACATTGTTTCTTGTCCGTTACTTGAAACAATACTTGATATGAACCAAAAGAAATCAATCCTATAATATACTTCTATGAAGATGTGAAGAAAACGTTGTTAATTATGACCATAAAGTAGGAAAGTTACCACTCTTAGACAACCTCGTGAATCGGTAAGAGTTTCATTTTGAGGCTATTTAATGCCATGTATGTTGTCTTTGTAAAATAGACTTGGAAAAAGTAGTAAAATGAGCATTTGAGTTATTTGATCAACAAGAATCATTTGAGTTAGACATGGTCGATATTGTTTGTGGAGTGATTCAAATCTCAAATAAGTGTTCTTGCCTTGAAATATTCGATCAACAAGATAATCTGAATCTTATTCCCCTTATAGTGATTCGATATCATTTAGTATTAGAGCTGTCCCTTGGGTTGATTTCATATCAATACTGATCATATAATACATCATAGCGGTATGATGTCATATTTCAAAACCTCATGACACATAAGACTACCAACACACTCTAACACACAATTATGTCATGCTTAACCTAAACATGTTCAAAAAGTTCAGTTGAAAATTTTTTAGCATGGTTTAGTCGATACCAAGGATGTGGTCCATTCTTACATTTTTAATTGCTTTATTGTCTTGATAATTAATTGAATCTTTAATCTGAAAAAGGTTTAGTTGGACCCTAGGTATGAGTTATGATGGATCTTAAACAAGCACGGCTAAGCAAACTTGTTAAAGCTTTGCCGGTTGAAAGATTGATTAGGTCCTTAAAATGGGTTTGGTTGGTTAATCTAAGTGACCCAAAAATTCGAAACGTTTTTTGGGATGAGTATTCTAAAATATAAAAAGCGATAGAATAATAAGTTATAATTCATTGACTCATTGATTGTATCATTAACCATTTCTTTCTTTTGGTGTGAGGAATTTATTATGAATCTATTGATTTCTGCAGCTTCCGTTATTGCTACTGATTGGCGGTCGGTGATATGAACCAAGAGACATCAATCATATAACATATTTTATTGAAGATGTGAAGAAAAGGTTGTCAAAATTATCACAAAATGTTTCAATTTATGCTACATTAAAAAAGAATGAAGTTTGATTGTTGTAAATTTTGGTTGGGTTACCATTTAGAATAATTTAGAGTTATTGTATTTTAGGACTTTTTATTTACTTTAGGTTACATTTACATCATGGTTAATTATGGTCATTAAGTATGAATGTTACAACTTTTGGAATGCCTTTAATAGTTTCATTTTTAGGCTATATAAAGCCATGTATGTTGTATTTGTAAGGTAGACTTGGAAAATATAGTAAAAGAAACATTTGTGCTTTTCTTTAGCCAATGACTAAGTTTCTTTACAATTCTATGTAGTTTAGGTTACATGTAGAATCATTCAAGCTCGACATGATCAATCTTGCTTGTGGAGTGATTTGAATCTCAAACAAGTGTTTGAGATATTTAATCAACAAGAATCATTCAAGCTAGACATGATCGATTTTGCTTGTGGAGTGATTCGAATCTTAAACAATGTTCTTGCCTTGAGATATTCGATCAACAAGGTAATCCGAATCTTACTACCCTTGTAGTGATTTTCCCATATCAGTCGGGCTTGCTTCTATTGGACTTGGGGTTGGTCAAGGTACTACTACGGGCCAAGCAGTAGAAGAGATTGATTGTCTTGAAAATTTTAGCATGGTTGGAGTAAACTTAAAAGACTCAATTTATTTTCTATATTCTCTCTTTTACCAATACCGTGGATGAGTTCAATTCTTACATTTTAGCATGGTCGGAAAAAGGTTTAGTTGAACTTGAGGTATGAGTTATGATGGGTCTTAAACAAGCATGACTAAGCAAACTTGTTAAAGCTTTGCCGATGATGAGCGTGAAAGATTGATTAGGCCCTCAAAAGTTGATTAGGCCCTCAAAAGGGGTTTGGTTGGTTAATCTAAGTGACCCAAGAATACGAAACGTTTTCTAGGATGAGTTTTCTAAAATACAAAATGTACAAAATTTGGTTATGTCCCATCACAAATGGATTGACAAGCCAAAAAAAAAAAAAAAAGTTAACTTAGTAGACTTGATGAGTCATTCCAAAATTAAATTTGGTGTCTACCCCAAACTTTTAATTTTATAAACCTAATAAGCTTGGTAGGTGGGAGTAAAAAAAATAGAGTAATTTCTTACTTCCAAAATGGGTTTTGAAGGTTCAAAAATCTCAACAGAGAGAGTTTGTAACTGTCATAGGTAAATTTGGAATTATACATGACTTGAACTGCCTAGGCATGGGCTGCATCTCGCATGCTCACAAGCCAATAAAACTTAAAATATAACTTATGGACCGTTGATAGATTATTATATGATATGGTAAATGATTTCTTAATTTCGAAATATATAAGATTTCAAAGTTGGGTAAGTTTTATATTGAAGGAAGCTATATTTGTAACTATGGTAAAATATTTTAGCATTATGAAATGTAGCTAAAAACATAAATTCCAAACCCCCCCCCCCATTCAAACAGGTAGATACCAGAAGTCCACATTTCTCCCAACCACATTTACCCCTTTTACAATGAATGAAGAACAAGAAATTGGGTTAAAAATTTTGAAATATTTTGAATGGTGGAAAAAGAAAGATGAAATAAATAATGTATTAATTTATACATTTTGAGAAAAATAAAAATCCGACGCGTTTTTCAGGCTGATCGAGTTTCCAGATTCCGGCGGGAAGTGTTCTGCATCAAGAAAAGCTTCTTCAAAACCTTAACAATCCCCGTCGTCGTCTTCTTCCTCCTCGTCGCCGTGCTCCTCGACGTTTGCGACGGATCCAAATCCGCTATCTCAACCGATTCAATCTCCGCCGATTTCATCAACCTCGATCTTCGATTCCTCGATAAGTCCTCGTTGAGATTCTCCCAGAGCACATCCATCTTCTCCGCCGCCGCGGCATCCGTCTCCTCGTCGCTCTCGAGTTTCCTCCTCCTGTGCAAGGAGGACGTAAATGTGACGGCGGCGAAGCGATCGGTCCTGTCAGTATGGGCCGTGGTGTCTCTGAAGTTGGAATCGGAAATGGGAGATGCGGCGGGAGAGGCGCGCCAGAGAGGCGGGGAATCGATGCTGCAGCGGGTGAAGGAGTCGAAGGCGGTGGGGAAACTGAAGTCATCTTCAACCGCCATGGATTTGGATTGAAATGAAAAATGAGAGATTGGGGAAAAGAAAATGGAAATTGGAGAGAATATTTGGAATTTGGGATTTGGGAATTAGGATTTGTATGTGGAATTTGCAGTTCAACTGCTTCAACAAAGTGCTATAATTTCTCTTTCTTTCTTGTTTATATTGTTATTTCTTTTTTCATTTTCCATTTAACTTTTTTTTTTTAAATATTTATTATAGTGTTCATCTTAATCTATCTTCCGTTTGAATTAAAAATTTTGGATTGGTTGGGTTGGTGACTGAACTAACCTAAATATAGTTCACAACCTAACTTCATCTTTTTTTTTTTTTTCTCCAATTATTTAAAAATCCTATTTATCAACCATACATATTATATTAATAACTAAAATCTCATACAATTAAATATCAATAACTCACCATTAATATTTGTTACATAAATTAAATATTCTTCATTTTCATAATAATTTTAAAAATATGATAGAATTGGGTTGGATTTGTAATCATATTTTTAGGTCAGTAACCTATCCGAGTTTTAGATTTTACAAAAATTCAACTACACAAAAAATCTAACTCAACTCAACTTTTTTATTTATACATAATTTATAGGGTGGATACATCATTTAGGGGCATGGCTCTGATACCATGTTAGATGAACACAACTTTCTATAATGATATGATATTGTCCACTTTGAGCATAAACTCTGATGGCTTTGCTTTGGACTTCCCCAAAAGGCCTCATGCCAGTGGAATACTATCTCCATTGATATGAGGCCTCTTGGGGAAGTCCAAAGCAAATCTATGAGAGCTTATGTTTAAAGTGGACAATATCATACCATTGTGGAGAGTCGTATTCATTTAACAGATATCTCTTATCCCTCTAACTACATAACTCTCGAGTGCTCCTACATTTCTATCGACATCTTGCTGACACCTAACATAAAAGAAAGAGGAAAGAGCTGAGTATAAAATTCTCAGTAAGCAAAGAGTCTCATCGCATCCTTTAACCTAATAGGTATCCACGAATTTTACTTTGGGTTCTAGGAAGTTCGGGTTGAACCTCTACTACTACCGGACCCACTCTGTATGAAGGAGGTGGTTCACCCATTTCTGGCATCACAAGTCTTCTGAGTGACAAATCTCTTCTCTAGCGTTGTAGCTTGCTTTGCCTAAGCAGTGTGTAACTTAAATGATCTAGAGTTTACGGGTAAACTTGAGTGTCTTGTCCTTGTAACACTATTGATTCGATTAACTTTATAATTGTTATAAATAATTTGATCCAAACTTTTCATGTAAAGACATTTGAATGGAGGTATTGTCACAACTCAATTTTTGAGTTGTTTGAAGCAAATATCGCAACGTGGATTGACGCAAAAGAGTTGTGAAAATACAAAGAAAAAATTTCTCTTTTAAAACAAGAAAACTTCGAAAAATGAAAAGAGAAAAACGTGCACAAAATACACACATATATATATATATATATTTACATTATACAAAAATATCCAGGGGATTTGGGGGTGCCACTCTATGGCTCCCTCTCCCGTTCAATACTCTCTTGTTCTAACGAAGGACTTAACATGGTTTCTTGACATAAGGATCTTAGTCTTAGGACATTGATCTTGAATCATGGTTCTTAGTCAACTCGGTAGCTATCTCTAACATGTTCCAAGATTGCTCTCCATGAAAAACTTAGAAGGTCACATCTTTCGTGAATACCATATAAACGTGAAATGTGTTATCCGGTGAGAAACATGTCCAAAACATCCTAAAACATAGGGAAAAAGAGCCTACAATAACGTAGGGAAGGATAACCTGCAAAAACATGGGTGAGCATCTCGGGTTGGACATTCTATCTAGGTGAGGAAAAACATGAAACATAAAACATGACATCATTCTAAAAAAAACATGGCATGACATCTCACGTAGATGAGGAAAATATGAGGAAGTCAAAGGTTATTTAAGACATGGTTTAGAGATTATTTAAGACATGGTTTAGAGTTGTACCTAGCAATCTTAAGATGTTAGATTTATGCCCTAAATCTAGTAATTAATTATTTAGTTTTCAATAATAATTTTGATAATTTTATTTACAATTTAATATTATTCATTGTAAGAAAAATAGAAGGCTATTATTGTAATCTTGAACCATATGTGTCCACATACGTGATCATGTTCAAATAATAACCTAACGGGTTTATAGTATATGGATAACGATGGGTGTCTTATCTTGGTAATACTATTGATACGACCCACTTTGTCATTATTACAAATGATTTGATCCAAATCGTTCATGTGGAGACATGTGAATAAGAGTATTCTATACAATGAGTTTGTATAATACTAGACCACCAAATATTTAATCTCTCCTTATAAATCTATTAATTGGGAAGATTAATATTCCACATAATGATCATACATGACTTGTTCTTAATCCTGAGTGAGTTATGAACTTTTGTCTGTGAAGGCTTGTCCTTCGATTTGCATGGGTGAGAATGACTTTTGTAACCGAGTCACTATAATATATCTATCATTTTTTAGACTTGACTCAATAGGGAGCTGGGAACAAAATTTTACAAGATAGAATTCACTCATTCCCATATGTAGTTCCCTTAAGTGCTGATTTCGATACTTGAACAATGGGCCCTATCTTCTCATTGTTTGGAGAGGGACTTATTTATGATTGTATTATAAACAAATTATTTATTAGAGAATAAGTGGTACTTAAAGTGAAATAATTACATGAGTAAAATGGACTTTTGACCAAGATGTAATTACAAACAACTCGTGAATGATAGACTTATTTGTAATGTTTATATCAATGGACACAACTTGTTCTACCGTGCATAAGAGTGCAATTCTAAGTATATAATAGATGATCAATGAATGAAAATTGATTAATTAAATAGTTTAATTAATTAAGTTTGTATCATTGGAGCTTATAATCGAGAGTCGTCCTCTTGTAAGCTCATACTAATACTAAAAAGTTCAATTTAGTTGAAAACAAGTGTGAAATATTCAAATTAATATTTAATATATTAGATATATTAAATATAAAAGAAAAATTATATTTAATTGGAAGAGTTTAAATTAATATTTAATATATGAGATATATTAAATATAAATAGAGAAAAATATATTTAATTTGAAGGTTCAAATTTTTATTAATATATTAAATATAAATAAAGAAAAATTATTTAATTTGGAGGAATCTAATTTAATTCTATATTAAATATATTAAAGAGAAAAAATATATTTATTGTATTTGATACTGTTAGATTGAATGACACGATGACCTATATGGGTCACGACCTCATGTATTTATAGATATGTATAATGAAGATTACATTCCAAATCTATGATTTGATAACAAACCATGAAATCATAGATTTGGTAACAAACCCTTCAAATCATAGATTTGGTAACAAACTAGTAAATCCTAGATTATATTAGTATATACAGGTATGATCTATTTTACGTTTAACACCCCCTCAATCTGGACGATGTACTACTAAGTTCAGATTGCGCCTAAAATAGCTAAAAGAAGGAGCTGGCAGTGGCTTTGTCATGATATCGGCGAGCTGATCCTTGGAAGATATGAGTCGAACATCAAGCTGACGAGTCGATACTCGTTCACGAATGAAGTGATAATCAACCTCAACATGCTTCGTCCGTCGATGAAAGATTGGATTGGCGGATAGGTAGGTGGCACCAATATTGTCACACCATAGGCTAGGCGCTCGCGCTTGCGAGATCCCGAGCTCACGCAAGAGGACTTGGATCCAAATTAATTCGGCAGTGGCATCAGCAACCGCCTTATATTCGGCTTCCGTACTAGAACGAGAAACTGTCGATTGTTTCCTCGAACTCCAAGAGATAAGATTGCCATCAAAGAAGATCACATAGCCTCCAGTGCTTCGACGATCATCAGGATTCCCAGCCCAATCAGCATCTGAAAAGGCACTCAACAAATCAGTGCTGGACTTTGTAAGACACAAACCCATATCAATAGTGTCATGTAGATAACGGAGAATTCGTTTGACTGCCGCCCAATGTATAGAAGTCGGAGAGGACATGAACTGACACACTCTGTTGACACAGAAGGATATATCAGGACGTGTCAGAGACAAATATTGGAGAGCACCAACGACACTTCGATAGCGAGTAGTATCCTCAGGTGAGAGCTTTTCACCACCATTCAATAACAACTTCTCACTGGGAAGCATAGGTGTGGGCACACCTTTGGAGGTGAGCATATTGGTTCTGGCTAATAAATCTCGAATGTATTTATGTTGTGTCAGAATAAGTCCACTGGAAGTATGGCGGACCTCAATCCCAAGAAAATAACTCAAAATACCAAGATCCTTGACGGCAAAATCATCCTGAAGCTGTGTAAGAAGTTTCTCAGTAGCCGTAGAAGATAAGCTGATGATAATAATGTCATCAACGTAGATGATATACATCTGAATGCCCGTCTTGTTAAAAATGAAAAGAGAGACATCAGCCTTTGAAGGTGTAAAATTCAGCTGTAATAGTTTGGAGCTAAGGCGAGAAAACCAGGCACGCGGAGCTTGTTTAAGGCCATAAAGCGACTTATCCAGCTTGCAGAGATAACCAGGGTGTTGAGAATCCACAAATCCAGGGGGCTGCTTCATATAAACATCTTCATTAAGAAAGCCATGAAGAAAAGCATTTTGAATATCAATCTGTCGAATAGCCCAACCACGAGAAATAGCAAGAGATAATAAGAGCCGAATGGTAGTGGGCTTAACAACTAGACTAAAGGTATCATCATAATCAACGCCATACTGCTGTTTAAAACCTTTAGCAACCAGGCGTGCTTTGTAGCGATCAATAGAGCCATCTGGCTTTTGCTTGAGTTTGAAAACCCATTTGCAATCAATAACGTTAAGACCAGCACGAGGAGGAACTAAGTGCCATGTCTTATTTTTTTGAAGTGCCTGAAATTCATCATTCATTGCCTGACGCCAGAGAGGATGCTCCATAG